TTGTCTGGAGTTGGGACTCAGCTATGCACTTGTCATCCCAGAAAACATCTGGGAAAGCTGAGGACTGCTGGCAAGAGAGAAGAGGCAAGGAAGGAGTTATCCAGGGCCTCCTGCAGCCATAAGTGCCTTTTAAAGGATTAGTTTTACATCTCCAGCAGCACTGAATATCGCTTTGGCTTTTCTTGTTCTACATAAAGGCAATTATCTATTGGCGACGTGAAAATAATACGGGGCAATTCTGCATTGTGCCGGCAGACATAGCCCTCATTGTGCCATTCACACTTGTTTGTTTGCTCCTTGGCCCGGGCAAGTTCTGAGCCGTGCTTGTACCAACCTATACTGGGGGTCTGTTCCCTCTGCCAGCTGCCCTGGGGTGGCACAGCCTTTGGGGACATGGCTGTGGGGTCTGTTCCCCCTAACAGCTGCCCTGGGGTGGCACAGCCTTTGGGGACATGGCTCTGGGGTCTGTTCTCCCTAACAGCTGCCCTGGGGTGGCACAGCCTTTGGGGACATGGCTCTGGGGTCTGTTCCCTCTGCCAGCTGCTCTGGGGTGGCACAGCCCCTTGGGGACACCACAGCCCCAGGGCCACCACAGGGCTGGCACAGCTCGGGACTGGGGAGGTTTCCCTGCCACGACAGGGAGTGCACCGGGATGGGCTTTGGGTCCCTTCTAACCCAAAACCACCCCGACTCTATCGGTGCCTGTGGCCATTCCCAGCGCTTTGGGGGGAAAGGCTCCCCCAAGCCTTTGAGAACCTGGGCTGGCTTTTGCCGTCCGTGCAGAGCAGCGCTCGCTGAGCCGGGGACCGCAGCGCCCTCTCCTGCTGTCCTGGGGGGAAAAGTGGAAAACTGAAAGCGCTGGGATGCTCGGGGGGCCGGAGAGCCCTGCCCACCTGGCCTGGCCCTTTGGGAGGGTGTGGTGTGAGCAGCCAGGGATTAACAGGCAGGGGATGGGCAGGGATGAGGGGCTGGAGCTCTGGCACAGGGTGGGACAGGCAGGGATGAGGGGCTGGAGCTCTGGCCATGCCCAGGGGCACAGGGTGGGACAAGAGCTGGGCAGGAGCTGCCTGCACTGCCCTGAGGACACACGCAGGGATCTGGGCACTGTCCCTTGCAGCAGAAGCACCTGGAGGCAGGTGCTGGTCAGGCCATGGTAGCCACAGCCCCAAAATCCTTTCTCTTCGTTTCTGCAGAGACGGACCGGGCTGACGGCAGGTGAGTAAGGGGTGTGTCGGTGACAGGGGACAGGTGACAATTGTCAGGACACCTGCAGCGGCGGTGGCTGCAAGAACCAGCTCAGCTATTGCCCTTCCCTGCACGGAGTGAGGAGCCAGGGGCCAGAATGCAGGGAATTGGTGCTTTGGGGGCTCCTCCTGGGGCCATGCTCTATGGCTCAGCTTTATGGCAGTAACTCGGGGGGAGCCCCTCGAGAGTGCCCGGGCTGGGCAGATCGAACACTCTGCGCTCAGAGGGAGCAGCTCCATCTGCTATCATTTACTCCCTTTTTATTTAACAATTCAGCACCGGGGACAGCAGGGGCCTCTTGTCCCCACCCCACACACCTTTCCCTATCCCACACAGGGGTGTCCCTATCCCACACAGGGGTGTCTCCAGCCCTGGCGCTCCCCGGCCCTGCCCTCCTGGAGCCCAGCCCGGGGTGCACGGTGGCACGGCTGTGCCTGCTGGAGCGATGCTCTCGTTTCTGGAGCGATGCTCTCCTTTCTGGAAGACTGGGCTGACTGGTGCCCTGGGAGTGGTCCCGGCAGGAGCAGGGCCCAGCTCAGTGGCAGCCCCGGGCAGGCTGCAGCCCCCGAGCGCAGATCCAGCATTTCCAGCCAGCGTCCCCAGGAGGGGCAGCGGCCGCGAGTGACAGCGCTGCCGATGGGATGTGACCGTGACATGTGAGTGCCTGCTGCCCGCCCTGTGACAGCTGACTGAATGTCAGCGAGCAGAACCCCATGAAATCCCTGCTCCTGATGCGAGCTGACTGCCCGAACAGCGCCTGTGTCATTTTTCTGATGGTGACTGCGGGCTAGCCGCGCTGAAGGAGGCAGAGAAAATCAGCAAGACAGCTGGAATAGGAGTCAGCCGGGGAAATCTGTGGGGCCGGTCAATACTTTGGCAGACTGAGCCTGTCAGATGCTGTCAGCAGCGATGGACGCGAGAGAGGCAGTGCTGTGCTGGGGCCAGAGCAGAGGCAGGGCTGTGAGGCAGGGCTGGGCTGGGATGGACCGGGTGCATGCTCATCCCATGCATCCCAGGGGGTTTGGAGCAGCCCCCAGCCCAGCACGGGGCATGGGGCAGGAGGAGAGCACTGCCTCCCTCTGCAGCCCCAGGGCACAGGGAGCAGCGTCCCACTGCAGGGATGCACAGGGGCAGGAGGAGAGCACTGCCTGGCATTGCAGGGATGCACAGGGGCAGGAGGAGAGCACTGCCTGGCACTGCAGGGATGCACAGGGGCAGGAGGAGAGCACTGCCTGGCATTGCAGGGATGCACAGGGGCAGGAGGAGAGCACTGCCTGGCATTGCAGGGATGCACAGGGGCAGGAGGAGAGCACTGCCTCCCTCTGCAGCCCCAGGGCACAGAGAGCAATATCCCACTGCAGGAACTCCCAGTGGGAGCAGCAGTGGAGACCCTGCCTTGTCAGAACCCAGGGAATCCCTCTGGCTGCCCTGGAGGGCTCCAGCCCCTGCCCGGGGGCTCAGAGACCTTGATTTAGCCCTCGGAAAAAACAATTAACAACCTTTATATGAAGAATTACAAATCCAAAGAGTTTAAGTAGAATAATAGTGAGTTTGTCACGGGGTGAAAAAAATAGATTTTTTGGTTTTTAGAATGGGGGCTTGGGGTCCCAAGATGGAGGAATTTGGGTGTGCCCTGACCTTTTCCCCTCTTATTCCTAGCCTTCATCTCCTGCTGTGATGGTGGCACTTTGGGATTGGTTTGGAGTAGAAGCTCACTGTCTAACACAGGTGATGGGCATTGGGCAGTAATTGTAAATATTGCACACGTAGTTTTTAGTATAAAAAGATAACACCGCCCTGGGGCAGGCAGAGTGCCTCTGTCTGTGCTGCTGAGCAGAGCTGGGCTGGGCAGGGGAAAGAATTTTATAGATAAGGAACAATGAGCAACCTTGAGAGCGAGAACTGAAGAGCTCTGACTCCTTCTTGGAGCGCCGGGCTGGGAAAAGAGAATTTCTGACACATCTGGGGGTCACTGTGAGCAGCAGAGCCCTGAGACTGCCTGGTGTTACACACTCTGGATTTCACAGCTGCTCAGGCCTCTCCTGCAGCCCCAGGTGGGACTGACCCCATCCACCTCCCACCGTAAAATGTGGGCTCCATGGATGTGCAAGTGATTCCTCACAGACCCTGAGCCTCACCTGTCACACAACACCTCCCACAGGGAGGATCCTGCAGCCACATCCAGTCTGGACATGGTACTGGATATTTTTATGCATTGGTCAACAAAATTCCAGTTTCTGAGGAGGAATGAGCAGCCCGGTTTGCTGCTTGCAGGGCCCCAGAAGTATTTCTGTAGCTTATGCTGCTGTCAGAGGGAGCTGAGGGATGTTTGCTCTCAGTAGGATGGGGATGTTTTTTTCCAAAAATATTTCCATTTATTGGTACAGAAAAGGAGTCTTTCCCAGCGTCTCTTGCAGAGAGGGAAATGACGCCGCTGTGTTCAGGGGTGCCGCTCCGGGTGCTGGGGTCCCCCCACGTGCGGGTGTCACATCACAGGTCCCAGTTCCCCCTGGGGATGCCCTTCCCCGTGGCCAGGCACAGCGATGGGCCGCAGTGACACCAGGGCAGGCCTGTGCCCTCAGTCCGCGTGGTACGTGCTGAAGCGCCACTGCTGGTGTGGGTTCCTGGCGTCACAGCCCCGCACACGCAGGGCCCTGAACGCGGCATCCACCTCCAGGCACGCGGGCTGCGGGAGCCGCGGGTGCTGCGAGACCAGGTGGGCGCTCTGCGGGACAGACGGAGGGTCAGGGGGCTCAGGGGGCTGCATGGGGGGCTCGGGTGTGCTCAGGCTTCAGGGCTCCCACAGCAGCAGCAGCTCTGGCTTCCCTCTGAGAAAGCCCAGCTCCTCACAGCGTGCCCTTTTCTGGCTCATCCCTAACACCTGAGATATCTCTGCTGACTGGCAGGGACTGTGGCTTGGCATCCAAGCCTGCAGCTGCTGCTGAGCCGGGGTCACAGCACACCTGTGCAGCCACAGCACACCTGTGCAGTCACACCTGTGCAGTCACAGCACACCTGTGCAGCCACAGCACACCTGTGCGTTCACACCTGTGCAGTCACACCTGTGCGGTCACAGCACACCTGCCCAGACCTGCCGTGCACTTTCTCTGGCTGGGAACAGCGAGCTGAGCTCCCTCGCTGTCTGTGCAGCAGTTGCCATGGGCAGGGAGTCCCTCGGTGGGACCGGCCCCACAGGGAATGTGCAGCAGGACACCGATTTCTGTGCTTACCTGGGAATGTGCAGCAGGACACCGATTTCTGTGCTTACCTGGGGCTGACGAACCCGGCACGCTCCCTGCACTGACAGGGATGTTGGGTGACAGCCCCAGAGCCCAGTGCTGGGGCAGGGCAAGGACAGAGTCTGGGTGCCTCCATCCTCCTGCTGTTCCCACCTGCTCGGGTTAACCTCTGTGAGCCCCGATGCTGCAGCGCTGCCACAGCACAGGGACATTGCTGTGCCCCTCCTGGCACTGCAGCGCTGCTCAGGGCAGCTCAGGGGCACCAGGTGAGACACCCCTGCTGTGCCCTGTGCAGGGCCTGGGCAGGAGCTGCACCTCTGTGCAGGCAGGAGCTGCGCTGCACATCCCTGCACTGCACAATGCCTGCTGTCAGCAGAGGGCAAAGCACTGCAGCTCCTGCAGCCGCTGAGCTCTCCTCATTCTCCCGTTGCTGGCACCAGTAAAACAGCAGCACCAGCTCCATCTCAGCCTCAGCTGAGAATCCAGGCTGTGACAGGAGGCAGGACCTGCCCGTGCCCTGCAACAGCTCCCTGGGCATTTCTGCGCACTTTTCACAAAGTGAAGTGGCAATTTCACAATTTTCAGTAAGCGGATAAAAATTTTCCTGTATTTTTCCCTAAACACCCAACGTGAGCCTGTGGCATTCTGGCATTCAGCGCTTTAGGCTGAAAAAACCAAAGGGCAATAGGAAATTGTCTGTGTATTGAATGCTGCATTTGTTCTTTCTGAAGTGAAGAGTGTTTTTTCCCAACAATAGACTATGCCATTTCAGAGCATTTTGGACAACTGCTTGCACCAGGCTGACAGGGGCAGAGCCATGACTCCTTGTGCAGCTCAGGCAATTAGTGTAAGGATCCATTCTCCTCCTTTCTGTAAGTGCTGTCTTTAAACACCCCTGTGAGCTGAGAGCCAATCGATGCTGACTCATCTCCCTTTAAGTGCTATTGATGGTTTCTGTGTAAAACCAGGCCATTTTGGCCGTGTTTCTGTGTAAAACCAGGCCGTTTTGGCTGTGTTTCTGTGTAAAACCAGGCTGTTTTGGCTGTTTGGCTGCTGCTGCTGTGGCAGTGCCTGCATGTCCCCAATGTCCCCAGCCTGGCAGCTGTGTGGGGATGCTCGGCACAGGATGGGCACAACCCCTGGCAGAGGGGCATGAGGGATGGGCACCAGCACGTCTCTAGGGCACAGGGGGCCTTGGCAAAGCGAGCAGCAGGCTGGGTGCCCCTGTGCCATGGGTTGTGCCCATCCAGTGCACCCTGACCCCTCCTGCATCACCTGGGATGGAGCTGCACCATCACTCACCAGCCCGGGCTGCACCGTGCCCACCCTGACCCTCCTGCATCACTGCACCATCACTCACCAGCCCGGGCTGCACGCTGGCCAGGGCCCCGTGGAGCCAGGCCAGGCTGCGGTTCCTGCCCTGGCACGGGCGCAGCCCCACGGCTCCCAGCACGCCCGCGGGTGCCAGGCACAGCTCCCCGTGCTGGACCAGCCTCAGCCAGGTGTAGTTGAACTTCTGGTTCTGTGGGCAGAGAGCAGGAGGAGACACGGCCCCGTCAGGCTCCACGGCAGGGCTGGGCACCGCGCTCTGGGCACCCGTGCCAGGGATGCCCACCCTCCCAGCCAGGAATTCCCAATTCCTGATATCCCACCCACCCCTGCCCCTGGCAGAGGGAGCCACTCCCTGTGCCCTGGCACTCCGGGTCCTTCCCTGGCCCTCTCAGAGCGCTGGAAGGGCTGTGAGGCACAGCTGGATGGATGGCCAGCAGCTGCACAAGGATGCTGCTGTTTCAATCTGTCTGTGTTTTCATGTGCAAGCTCACAGCTTTGTCAAACCTTCCCAACCAGCTCAATTTGCTGTTTCTGGCACTGCTGCTTGGCTACAGGCTGTCGCTGCCCCTTGCTGCTCCCAGGCACGGCCTGGCCATGGGGAAAGGGCTGTGCCAGCCCAGGAGGGGACAGGTCACCGGGGAGGCTCAGGGTGCCCGGTGCCACAGGCAGGGTGGCACACCCAGAGTGCCCGGTGCCACAGGCAGGGTGGCACATGCAGAGTGCCCGGTGCCACAGACAGGGTGGCACACCCCGGGTGCCCGGTGCCACAGGCAGGGTGGCACACCCCGGGTGCCCGGTGCCACAGGCAGGGTGGCACACCCTGGGTGCCCGGTGCCACAGACAGGGTGGCACACGCAGAGTGCCCGGTGCCACAGGCAGGGTGGCACACCCGGGGTGCCCGGTGCCGCAGGCAGGGTGGCACACCCGGGGTGCTTGGTGCCACAGGCATGGTGGCACACCCAGAGTGCCCGGTGCCACAGGCAGGGTGGCACACCCGGGGTGCCCGGTGCTGCAGGCAGGGTGGCACACGCAGAGTGCCCGGTGCCACAGGCAGGGTGGCACACCCCGGGTGCCCGGTGCCACAGGCAGAGTGGCACACCCGGGGCACCTGCAGCCTGTCCTTACCGTGCTGTTAGCATCACACTCCTCAAAAGCCAGGCTGGTGCCTTGCACGGCGATGCACCCCGCCAGGGCCGCGTTAACGAGCTGGAAACGGGAACAAAAGGCAGATTCAGACAGAAATTCCCAGGACGGGGGAGAGGATGTTGCACTGCACTGAAACGGAACCTGCTGGGCTCTCAGATTAACACTGTGCACATACCGACGGAGGCAGAACAGAGCGTTCCAGGCAGGCTGGACGGGGCTTGGAGCACCGCGGTCGAGTGAAATCCAAGTGTCCCAGCCCATGGCAGGGATGGAATATGCTGAGCTTTAAGGTCCCTTTCCACCCAAACCATTCTGGCACTCTGTGGCGGAGGAGGAGGGGAGCCTGACCCGGTGTCTCTCACCAGGCGCCGAGCGAGAGGCTTGTGCAGGCAGCATTGAACCAAAAAGGGTTTAAAGCGCTCTCTGCCCCCTGCCCTCGGCAGGCTCCGAGCCCGGAGCGGGGCCGGTCCCTCCTCGGGCCCGCAGCGCCGGCAACGCGAGCGGCTGCTGCGCTCTGCTGGCGGCGGAGCCGCGCTACAGACCGTGCTCCTATAGAGCCTGCATCTACAGACCCTGTTCTTATAGACCCTGCTCCTATAGCCCCTGCTCCTATAGCCCCTGCTCCTATAGACCCTGACACTACAGAGACCGACACTACAGAGCCTGTTCCTATAGAGCCCGACCCTACAGACCCCGACCCTATAGACCCTGACACTAGAGACCCTGCTCCTACAGAGCCCGACCCTATAGACCCTGCTCCTATAGACCCTGACACTGCAGACCCTGTTCCTACAGAGCCTAACCCTACAGACCCTGCTCTTATAGAGCCCAACCCTACAGAGCCTGTTCCTATAGACCCTGACCCTATAGACCATGCTCCTACAGACTTCGACCCTACAGACCCCGACCCTACAGGCTCTGCACCTGTGGACCCTGTGCCTACAGACCCTGCTCCTACAGACCCTGCCCCTATAGACCCCGCACCGCACTGCAGCCCCCGAGTGGGGGCAGGGGGTGAGGCTGCCTGTGCTCCCCCTCGCCCATCCAGACACCCAACCAGCCCTCTACAGGGAATCCCTTCTGTTTGTGGCCTGTTTCTTTATAAAAATGCTCAGGAATGCACACCTCTGTGCTGTATCAAACACCCCAAAAGGCGCCAAAGGCAGGTGGGCACTGCCCAGGGCATGGCCAGCCCCTGGGAGCAGCCCCTGGGCACCTACCTGCCCACTGGCCTTGACCAGGGGAGCCTCCAGGTCGGGGTACACGTTGTGCAGGTACCAGCGGAAGGTTTTGCAGCGCAGCCTCTGCCGCAGTTGCATCTGCCGGCTCAGGTCGCCCACGTCCACGCCGTGCAGCAGGTGGTAGGCATGGCCGTAGAACAGCTCCTTGTACTCGTCCAGCCACACCTCGGCCACCCGCGCCAGGTTCCTCTCCACCGTCCTCACCCGGTCTTTGGGGAAGGAGTAGGGATTGTCGTTCCTGAAAATGTGCCCGACCCTGGAGCACGGCACTATCTCGATCTCCCCTCCGCACATCCACACCTGCGGGACAGAGGGCACTGACAGACGCCAGCTGAGGGGGGCACTGCCTCAGAGAGGCAGCTCAGGTGCCCAGGGAGATGCAGCTGTGCCATCCGGTGCCCAGGGACATGGAGCAGTCCCATCCGGTGCCCAGGGAGATGGAGCCGTCCCTGGGGAGCCCCTGCATCACCCACCCAGGCTGGCAGGGGTGCAGCTGTGTGACAGTCACCCACCTTGAAAGAAATCTCCATGTTTTCTCCTCCCCAGACATCCAGTCCTGGGTCGTACATTCCCAGCTCAGAGAAATACTTCTTGTCGATGGAGAACAGGCCACCTGCCATCACGGGGCACCTGGGGACACAGAGGCCACACGGTGTGTCAGAAAGGGTGTCTGGGTGGCTTTACCTGGCCTGAAAGCTGTGATGGGGCAGGGAAGGGCAGGAGAAGCAGTGGCAGAAAGGCAGTGAGGAAAGAAAGGCACTGCCAAGAAAGGCAGTGAAATGTTCTCCTGGCTGGCACACCAGCAGTGCCATGCGTGGGGAGAAAGGCTTCCTGTGCCTCACCTGTCCTGGAAAGCACAGGGACAATACCTGGCCACAAAATAACATCATTTCTCCTCAAAGGAGCCTCTGCTGCTAAATTATTACCAAAGGAACATGCTGGTTTGCACAGCTCTCGCATCTCTTTTATTTACCTTATTATATCAGTTTCCTTGATCTTATTTTTCTCAATGACCTCCTGTGGAATCTGCCTCCATCCGAAATTCATTGGCCAAGTAAAAATCCCCCGCTGGAAGTTGTCCACGGTCATGTAACTAAAGAGAGGAAAGATCGGGCTGACTAATTCTGAGTCACACTCCTGATTGAAAGGTCACCCCTAATGGGAGAAGATGAGTATCTGTTGGTAATTAAACCAGGATTTTAACAAATTTCATCAGGAATCCTATTCATGTACTTATAATTGTGAGAAAGGAGAAAGGTGTGTGATAAACACTGGCCACATCTCCAGCTAATGTTTGTGAGAATTCAGTACATCTGAATGTCCAGAGCTGCTGGGACCCCTGTCAGGGGGCTCAGAGACCCTGGCACACAGCCCAGGACACCTGTGGGTTTGGTTATGACCTGTGGAGCAAATTACCAGCTTTGTATGAAGGCCTGAAAGCCACAACAGTTTAAGTAGTGTAATAATAAAATTATCACTAGGTGGAAAAGTAGCTTTTGGATTTTTTTAGAATGGGGGTTTTGGGGACAAGATGGAGCGACTTGGGCATGCCCAGCCTTTCTTCCTAGTCTTCTCTACCTCCATCTCCTGCTGTGATGGTGGCACTCTGGGATTGGTTCAGAGTAGAAGCTCACTGTCTAACACAGGTGATGGGCATTGGGCAGTAATTGTAAATATTGCACATGTAGTTTTTAGTATAAAAAGATAACACCGCCCTGGGGCAGGCAGAGTGCCTCTGTCTGTGCTGCTGAGCAGAGCTGGACTGGGCACAAGAACAATTTAACATATAATAAACAACTCTGAGAAAAAAAAAAGAAACTGAGGAACTCCAACTCATTCTTCAAACGTGCAGGCCGAAACAGACTTTTCACGTGTCTCGGGGCCGCAATAAACCGCAGAGCACCCCAGAATGTCAGTGTCACAGCAATGCTGTGTGTGCCCTGCGGAAGGCTCCGCGGGCCGTGAGGGGCCTGGCGCCATGGCTCCCTGGCCTTGTGCCCCGCGGAAGGCCCTGTGGGCCGTGAGGGGCCTGGCGCCATGGCTCCCCGGCCCTGTGCCCCGCGGAAGGCCCTGTGGGCCGTGAGGGGCCTGGCGCCATGGCTCCCCGGCCCTGTGCCCCGCGGAAGGCCCTGTGGGCCGTGAGGGGCCTGGCGCCATGGCTCCCCGGCCCTGTGCCCCGCGGAAGGCCCTGTGGGCCGTGAGGGGCCTGGCGCCATGGCTCCCCGGCCCTGTGCCCCGCGGAAGGCCCTGTGGGCCGTGAGGGGCCTGGCGCCATGGCTCCCCGGCCTGCAGTGGGTGCTGTGGGTGCCAGGCCGTGCCCGGCCGGGATCCCTGCAGGGAGGGTGGTCCCACCTCATGTCCCTGTCGCTGATGACCTCGATGACGGGGCAGGCCACCTTGGTGCGGCGCAGGCGGACGCGCTCCAGCAGCGGCTCCAGCCAGCCCACGTTGCACTCCACGTGCGAGTCCAGGAAGGTGAGCACAGCGCCTGGGGCACAGCAGGGCAGGGTCAGCCCTGGCACCCCAGCCCTGCCCTGCTGGGCAGCCCCTGCGGGCTCGGGGTGCCGCTGATTGCCACGGCCCTGCTTTGGAGCCATGGTGCTTCCTGAGAAACCCTTTCCTTAGGATTTTTCCTCCTGAGAAGCTGGGAGGCCTCAGGAACAAAATGCAAACAATGGTTATCTGCTGCTGTGAGATGCAACAGGTGCATCTGGGATTGGGCTCATGGGGTTGTTTCTAATTAATGGCCAATCACAGTCAGCTGTCCGGACTGTCTCGGTCAGTCACAAACCTTTGTTATCATTCTTTCTCTATTCTTAGCCAGCCTTCTGATGAAATCCTTTCTTCTATTCTTTTAGTATAGTTTTAATATAATATATATCATAAAATAATAAATCAAGCTTTCTGAAACATGGAGTCAGATCCTCGTCTCTTCCCTCATCCTGGCACCCCTGTGAACACCGTCACACTCCCTGGCTCCCCAGACCTGCCCAGCCACAGCCAAGAGCATTTTTCCCTGCTTGGCAGGGCAGCTCCTGACAGAAATGGCCATTTTGGAGCTCACACAGCCCGGCAGGACAGGTGGTGGAGCTGAGGCTGGAGATGGGGGCAAAAGGACACCCCGGTGCACTGGGAGGGACAAAGGCCATACTGGAGGGGGGGCCCTGCACCTCTGGGGTCCCCTAAAGCGTGTTAGCCCAGCAATTTTTTGGGTTTGATCACTCCAATTGGGTTTTCTTGTTTTCCCTCTAATCCCAGTTTCCCCTCAGCATCTCTTTAAGCCGTGTTATGGCAGAGAAGAGCTCTGGTGATCCCTCTGAGCCCCTACACTAAGCATTAAGCTGTAAACCAGGAATGTAAGACTCTTGTCTGAATTAAAGCCTTTTCCCTTGCATTGCTGGGCATAGGGCTGCCTTTGGGGGGGCTGGAGGAGGGGCAGAGCCCCCCACCCCTGGCTGGGAGCTCTGGCAGCCCTGGAGCTGCCCCATCCACCCTGGATCCCCCCCCATACACACACTGCCTCCATCCCGCCCCGCGTTGCTCCCATGCAAATCCTGGGCTGCAGTCAGAAGTGCTCGTCCCAGCACAGCCTGGGTTGTGTCCCCAGGCCTGGCCCAGCCCCGGCTCCCGCCCTACCTGTGGCGATCTCAGCCCCGGCCAGCCTGGCCCGGATCAGGCCGTGCCTCTCGCGGAGGTGCAGCACCTTCACCTTGGGGAAGCGCGACATGTACGCGTCCAGCTGCTCCTTCAGGTACTCTGCACAGGGGACACGACCCTGAGCCCTCTGGCACGGTGAAAAGCCACAGGCAGAGCTGCCTGGGCATGCCAGGGGCTCAGGCAGGGCTGTCAACACCTGGGCACGGCTCCTGTGCCCATGGTGAGAGCCCTGAGCCATCTGAGACCGCGCTCTCCTGAAGAACCAGCCGTGGGCAAATGGCACCACCCCTCTGACACAGACATCCTTCATGAAAAATCTTTTCTTTACGATTTTTCTTCTTGAGAAGCTGAGAGACCTCAGGAAAAGATTGTAAACAATGATTATCTGCTGCTGTGGAATGCAACAGGTGCATCTGTGATTGGTCTCATGTGGTTGTTTCTAATTAATAGCCAGTCACAGGCAGCTGGCTCGGACTCTGTCCAAGACACAAATCTTTGTTATCATTCTTTCTTTTTCTATTCTTAGCCAGCCTTCTGATGAAACTTTTTCTTCTATTCTTTTAGTATAGTTTAAATGTAATATATATCATAAAATAATAAATCAAGCCTTCTGAAACACGGAGTCAGATCCTCATCTCTTCCCTCACCCTCAGATCCCTGTGAACACCATCACACTCCTCAATTTTGGAGGGCTGAGCCCGGCAGAGAGTGCAGGGCATCACTGCAGGGGCCGGGTACCAGCTGAGATGGTGATGGAGGGCCCTGTGCAGCACAGATCCCGGCTCAGCACTGCTCCCACTGCAGCTCCTGCCCCCTGAGCCACCCCAGAGTGTGTCCCCTGCACTGGGAGCACGGGCACCTGCCTGGGAGCTGCACACTCAGGGCTGGGAGCATCTGACTGCATAAGCCCTTGAGCCAGGATGCTCCAAAGACCAATGGGCCGGGCAGGACGCAGCTCCCTGGTGCTCCTGGAGCCTCTGGCAGCCTCCTCCTTCCTCCCCCAGAGCCAGCCCCAGCACCCCCTGCCCTGTGATCACCCTCGGCCCCAGCGCAGGCCAGGGATGCGCTTCAACACAGCGGAAGGACAAAATGTGATTTCTCGGAATTGAATTACAGAGGACAAATTGCGTTTCCCCCAGGTTATATCAGTTCCACGGCGGCAGCAGCAGCAGGCTCCCTACCCTTGGAGCTGCAGTCGTCCACCAGGATGATCTCCTCGAGGAGGCGCGGGGGCGAGCGGCCGAGCACGCTGTGCACCGAGCGCAGCAGCGCCGACCACACCTCGTCCACAAAGCACATGATGACGCTGGTGCTGGGCAGGTCATCGTGCACCTGCTGCTCAGAGCACCTGCAACGGCAGCACGGCCCGCGGGTCACGGCCAGGCTTGGTGTTCCTGGGAAAAAGTGTGGGGAAAGGGAAAATGCCCAAGGTGACACAGGGAGGGACAGCCCTGCAGGGCTGGGAGGGGAACAGAGGGTGAGGAGGGACCCCACACACTGCCCCAGGGCCCCCCCTGGGCAGCCCCATGGGACGGGATGGACTCACTTGGTTCTGACAATGAAGGAAATTCAGAGGCACTTCAGGGCTTCGCAGTTAATCAGAAGTGCTCTGGCTAAGTGAAATTCACCCCAGAATTACTCTGTGTCACAATCCTTGAGATGTGTCTGTCTGTCTGTCTGTCTGTCTCAGGGAGGTCAGTGGACAGAAAACACCACAAAGTCCATTTTGGATCCAGCCCTGCCTCACCTTGCTGGGCAGTGGTGAGCAGACCTAGGTCCTCCACCACAGAATCCTGGAATGGTTTGGGGTGGAAGGGAACCCAAAGCCCATCTCCTCCCAAGGGCTCCCATGGCAGGGACGCCTTCCACTAAACCAGGCTGCTCAGAACCCCATCCAGCCTGGCCTCAAACTTCCAGGGACAGGGCAGCCACAGCTTGTCAGGGCATCCTGTGCCAGGGCAGAATTCCCTCCCAGTATCCCATCCATCCCTGCCCCTGGGGGTGGGAAACCACTGCTCCTTGTCCTGGCACTCCAGACCCTTACCCAAAGTCCCTCTTCACATCTCTTGGAGCCCTCATGCACTGAAGGGGCTCTAAGGTCCCCCTGGAGCCTTCTCTTCCCCTTTTCCCTCAGCCGCAGGACTCCTGATCCAGGCTCTGCATGGGATGCTCCCCACCAGCCTCCTGCCCCCCACACTGCTCCTCAGGGCTCTCCCCACAGCAGCTGCAGGGACACAGGGCCCATGAGCACAGCACTGCCAGCGAAGCTCCAAAAGCAGCGAGCCCTGAGCACAGGGAGGCACGGATTGGCCAGATTTCAGTGCCCAGTGCAGTACTCCAGGCAGAACCACAACAGGAACTGGAGTCTAAATTGGGACAGACTGGAATACACCAAAAAATAACTGTTGGCTGCCAAGAGCTGCCACCAGCCCCTGCCCTGAGCTGGCCCTTACAACCTGGTTGTCCAGCGGGCTGGGGCAGAGCCTGCACAGGCTCCTGCCAGGACCAGGGTGCCCAGGGCAGATCCGTGCCCCGAGGCAAGAGCTCACAGCCCTGTTTGGCCAGGTGTTCCTGTGACAGCAGTTCACACACATCCCTGTTTGGCCAAGGAGTTCCCCGGGACAGCAGCCTGTTCTGGGCAGCTGGGCTCAGTGGGTTATAACCTGCCAACTTTACCCAGTTCTATGTTCAACAACAGGCTGCCCTGAGCTGGATGGGCAAAAGCCATCTGACAGGTGGCACGGCTGAGGTGGAGGGCTCGCTGTGCCCGCAGCAGCCCTGCCCAGAGCCACGGAGCCAGGCCCAGGGCGCAGCCCGGGGCTCTGTGCTAGGGGGGCAGATCTTACCCGGCAGGCCTGGTGTCCGCGATGGCTCGATCCACAGGGATCAGGTCGCTGAGGTAGGCATTGAAGTTTCCTTCTTTCCACCTACTTTTTGCTTCTTCTTGTTTGTCATCAGGAACAGCAACAGGGTGTCCAAACTGGCCGGGAGCTCCGGGGTCTCTCGGGGCGAGCGTTGCGTCCATGGACAGGACTCTGTGCATCCCTGGGATGCTCCCTGCTTGTTCCTGCCCATCCCGGACAGTGCCAGCTGTTCCAGGAGCTGCTCCAGGAGCTGCTCCCTGCTGCTCCTGCCCATCCAGGACAGTGCCAGCTGCTGCAGGAGCTGCTCCCCTCTGCTCATGCCCATCCTGCTCAGTACCAGTTGTTCCGGGATCTGCTCCCCTCAGTTCCTGCCCATCCCAGCCAGTGCCAGCTGCTGCAGGAGCTGCTCCAGGAGCTGCTCTCCTCCGCTCCTGCCCATCCTGGACAGTGCCATTTGCTCCAGGAGCTGCTCCTGGTGTCGCCCCCAGCGTCCGACTCCGGCCACCCCCGGCGGTGGCCCCAGCAGAGTCAGTCTCAGCGTGGGCACGGTCACTGCTCTTTTCAGCAGGTTCTCCGTGCTTTCCACGTCTCCCTGCGGCGTTCCCCGCAGCCTGGGGCCCGCGGCGCGGGGCTGCGGGGCCGGCGAGGTCCATCCTGCCTTTGCTAACGGGGACGAAGCGAGTTTCGGAGGGAGTTTCTCCGCGTCCCGTGTTGGTGTCCTGAGCTCCAGGCTGGGCTGCGGGGCCCGCATCCCGGACTGCAGGGCCGCTCGGTGCCGCCGAGCCCCTCGGTGCCGCCGAACCCCTCGGTGCCGCCGAGCCCCTCGGTGCCGCCGAGCCCCTCGGTGCCGCCGAACCCCTCGGTGCCGCCGTGCCGCTCGGTGCCGCGGGGCCGGAGGGGCGCCGCTCGCTGCCGGGGGCTCCGGGCAGGGCCGAGCCCGTCCCGCCGCCGGGGCCCGGGGCCCAGGGTGAGGGCGGCGATGGCCCCGGGCCCCCGGGGGCTGCTCCCGGCCCCGCCGCTGCCTTCGCCGGCGCCCCGGGGCCGCGCCGGGGCCGCGCCCGCCCGAACCCCAACCCCATCCCCAGCCCCATCCCCGGCCCCGGCCCCGGCCCGCGCCCCGCCGCCTCCCGCAGCAGCCGCCCGCCCGCCTCGCCGAGCGAGAGGCGCAGCGCGGCCATGTCGAGCAGCAGCCAGGCCACCGAGGCGGCGAACACGAGGGCCAGGGCCCGCCCGCTGCCGCGGAACAGCCGCCGCAGCCCGCTCATCCCGGGCGGGCGCGGAGCCCGCGGGCCGGCGGGGCGGGAGCGGGACGGGCCGGGCCGGGGATGGGGCCGGGATGGGGATGGGATGGGCCGGGGATGGGGCCGGGCCGGGACGGGGCCGGGACGCGGCTGACCCGCCCCACCCCGCGCCGGGACCCGCCCGCGCTGGAACCCGAGCCCAGGATCCGCCCGGACCCGGCGGGACATCCCGGGAGGAGCGGGGCTGTGCCTGGGGGAGACAGCCCGGGGAACAGGTGGTGTGGCTGGGGGCACAGCCCGGGGATCAGAGATGGGGCTGGAGGGGGGCACAGCCCGGGGATCGGTGATGGGGCTGGGGCAACAGCCCGGGGATCAGAGATAGGGCTGGGGCAACAGCCCGGGGATCAGAGATGGGGCTGGGGGCACAGCCCGGGCTGGGGGTGTCTCTGCCCGGGGCTGTGTCCGGGGGTCCCGCCGGCGGCAGAGGGGCCGTGCCTGTCCCCGCTCCACGTGGCAGCTGGCGCGGCGCTCGGTGGCTGAGGCGCTGCTGAGGACGGGGGTGTGTTCCACATCCCGCTCAATTGCAGGGCACGGCAGCCACGCTGGCGAGCACGGCAGCCTCCGGTGGGCTGAGCCGGACAACGCCGAGGAAGGAGCCAGCGAGGAACCACCCTCCTGCTGCTCCTGTTTGCGCTCCTGCTCCGGCAGGCTGGGACGTGGCACGCTTTGCAGGCGGGGCTGGCTGTGCTCGCTGTTCTGGATGTGCCACCCGTCCTGGCTGTGCCAGCTGTGCCATGTGCGCTGGCTGTCCGGGCAGGCCAGGCTGCACTGGCTGTGCTGGCTCTCCGGGCTGCTGTGGCTGTCCTGGCAGTGCTGGCTGTCCTGGCTGTCCTGGCTGTCCTGGCTGTCCTGGCCATGCTGTAGCCATGGCCTGACCCTCGGGTATCAATCCCCAGGCTTGGCTGCTGCTGGGTGCAGGGGACATGCAGTGAGCCACCAGAGAAGCTGTTCCAAAAACTCAGGATACCGAAGTGAAAGAAAAGCCTGAGCTGGTATTTTGCAGCTTTACTAAACTTAGCTTAAACTCTCTTAAGGTTCTCTGGTGTTAATAAATTTAATAGCAATGCACTGTATTTCAAATCCTAAAGCAGGAGGTTTTGTTAAATAAAGGGCTCCAACCCACTGCAGTGCATATGAATATTGAAAAGAAATCAGTGGAAAAAATTACATTAATATTCATACTTTAGTAATATCAAACCCCAGCCTATGGTTACATTGTGTGATGGAAAAGAAAGGAAATGGCCATTCTGTTGTTTTTCCAAGGCTTTTCTTTGCCAAGCAAACTCCTTCAGACGTGGCAGGCAGTCCTGATTACAGAGGATTTGCATGTGTGGATAGTGCTTAAGGACTCCCAGTAAGCGAGAGGGAAGGATAAGGTTGCAAAAACTCTCTAAAGGAAAAAAAAATGAGCAGCAGATTGAGAGTAAGCAAGAGATGAACTTCAATGGAACAATTCTGTTTGTTTAGAAATAAAAGTTTGACGCACACGGTCTGTGCTCCATTCGCCATGCTGGCACCATTTCCCATTTCCATTTCCCATTTTCCCCTGGCTGGTGCCCACTCTCCCTTGGGCACGGTTGGGTCCCCAGTGCTGGGCCTGCCAGCTCACCCACCCCAGGGCTGTGGTTTGGGGTTCAGCCGTGGGCCCAGCAGGCTCAGCACCCACACAGGGACCCCTGGAGCTGCTGGAAGCGTGCTCCCCAGGCCAGCAGCCTCTTCCCTCATCCCTGGGCTGCTGCTCCTCGATCCCAGGATCCAGGAGCCCGCTGAGCTTCAGCCTTACGCGTTGTGACAAAGTCTCGGCGTGGTCACACGCTCTGCGCCTTGGCTCTCCTCCCTGGCAAGTACCAACGTTCCAGACAGCTGAACAGATTCCATGACACAAGACAGCTGCTTTTGTAGGGAGGAATTAATTTAATCGAGTACTCCATCATTAAAATAATCTGACGCGTCAGATGGAAAAGCGCGGAAGCAAGCTTGCTCGAAGATGAAAACTCAACACTTTTTCAGCCAGAAGTGTCCCAGAAGATAAGGAAATGTTAATATAACCCACTCCGGGTCTCTGTATAATATCTTAGCAATGTAAATAATATATTGTCTGAAAAGAATTCGTGAGGGAATGATCTCTTGCCAAAGCCTGGCTAGCTTGGTAAATTGTATTTCTTCCATGGAGCACAAGAATCTCAGAATGGTTTGGGCTGGAAGGGACCTAAAAGCTCATCCAGTTCCACCCTCTGCCAAGGGCAGGGACACCTTCCACTGTCCCACTGAAGGAAACACTGAGGCTGGAGTACCCTGTCCCATGGGGGTTTGGTGCTGTTCTGGAAGTCAGATGGGAATGGAAATGGAAACTTTGGAAAAGTTTGTGGTCATGTTCTGCAGGAAAACCCCAAAGTTGTAGAGGCAGAAAGCTGGGAAATACTGTGCAACTGTGTGCTGGATGCTTAGAAATCTGAAGATGAAGACACTAAAGTTCACATTTCTGTTTTGGAAGGTTTCTGGGTTTTTAAGCTGACCTCGTTGTACCTGGCTGGGTGATGGCAGTGAGGCCAGGTTGGACGGCTGTGTGCACCATGTGTGATTGAGGGCAGCTCTCCCCAAACAGGGCCGGTCACACAATCAGAGCCTGGCACAGCCGCTGCTGGCTGGGTTTGGCTGCAGGTGGTGCCTCTGGTGACTCTGTGGCACTCCATGCCGTGGCACAGGAACGTGCCGCTGTTGTCACCGGGAATGGGAACAGCAGCGGGTACCCTGATTTGCATAGAGGTCATGTTTTGCTAATATGTGTCTTGTAGAAGCAGACAGCATGTAAAAGAGGATGGTTAAAACCTGACCCAGCCATGTTTTTAAATTTCAAATTATGCATAACGTATGCATTAAATTAATTAGGGAATTCATTAAGAAGGGAAGAGTAAAGAAACTAGTGAGCAGTGTGCAGCATTAGTAATGTAAGCCATTTTCTATAATTGTTATATAGAATTTGTCTCATAACATTATCCTTTGATAAATTATTGCAGCATAATATGATATATGTAGCTTATTAACAGTTTCATTAATTACTATTAGAGCAGAGACACTGAAGTCTGGCACACACAGAACAAGTGCTGAAGCAGATGGTTGAAATTAGTGAAATGCAATTGGTTGCTGAACCCTTTTACCTAATTACATTATTACATCAAAACAGTTAAACCAAATTTGTCAAGTTGTCTGCTGGGCCCTGGGATGTTTGGAGCAGGGGTGGCCCGGGCCCAGCTCCCCACGGGGTGCAGGGACCCTCTGGGCACCATCCCCTGGCTCTGGGGCAGGAATTCCTGCAAACCTCGACCTTGTCTCCCTCGCTGCACCCAGGTTGGTCTCATGTTCCTTTTCCTCCTCGTTTCCCACTCAGCCTCGCCGTCCCCAGGGCTGGGCAGGGAAGCTAGGCACCAGCACTGACTCGTTGGTTCCTTTATCAGGGGCCTTCACATCCTCCCTGCTGCTGGATTCTGTCAGGGAACATTGTCCTCCTCCCCACATGGAGCTTGGGGATCAGTCAGGCTGATGGATAGCGCCCATTCCCTGCAGCATTCCCACCAAAAGAAGCATTCCACACCAAGAGCAGCTCTCCAGGAGCCTCCTTCCTCATCCTCCCCGTGGCTTTTGTGAGCAGGGTGAGCTCTGAGCAGTTCCACCGCAGCCAGGCAAGGGCTGGGCTGCACACATCCCTTCTCCCCCAGGGCTGGGATGCACCAGCCTGTGCTGCTCCAGGTGGGCCAGGGCAGCTGGAGGCATCCCTGGCAGGTTCCCAAACCCCTTCAGGCTGGGGGTGCCCTTGGATGGGCCCAAGGAGAGAGAAAATGCAGAGCCCTAAACACAAAGCATGGAAACCCATAAGTGCTTCCTTTCTGCTGAGCAGCAGCAGGTGAGTGGGAGCAGCGGGGGAGTGTGGGGACTGAGTC